GTGACCTGGTAGATACTTTTCTTCTGCTTCTGTTATCAGGATTCTCTAAAACAAAGTTTCAAAGAGCTCTGAATATTTAAACCAATTCATTTGGCTACCAATTTTCAACATTATATTAGAAATGTTTATTTTTCTTTATATAAGCTTAAACGTATCTTTATGGGCTTAGTATTAAAAAATATTCAATTTATCTATGGGCCAGGAGCTTAGCCGTTTTTTAATGTTAACGTTATTAAAGGTTTTTTTGTGTTCTTGGACCTCACAAGACAGAATGAGAATATAGCATATTTTTGGGATGAACTATAATTGTCAAGCCGAAAAGTATACTATTCATTTTTGAATTTTATTAAATCGTTTACATTTGAAACAACAAATTTTGCTAGGTTCTCGTGACTTGGCATGTGGACTTAATTTCTTTAATTTTTTTTAGCTATTTTAAAATGGTGGCCGCAAGCTTTTTGTCAAGCAAGATTTAACAAAAAGAATTCCAACTGAAGATCAGATAACAAGTTAAACATTTATTTTTACCAGAGACCGTAATCATTACAAGTGATATAATAAAAATCAATATTTAATGATTATTTATTGATTTTTATAAATTGAACTCCATTTTAATAATTACTTGTTGAGTTTTTTCAATCGCTCAAAGAATAATTATTATTATTGTGAGCGAAAAAATATCGATTAAAAAATAATGATTATTTTTGAGCGTTCTTTTCCCTCAAAATATCGCTCTTCTAAATATATAAAAAATTATTTTTTAAACTTTTTTTTTCAAATCTAAAAATGAGGTTTTGTGGGGTCGTCGAGGTTCACTTTATAATGCTGCGAAAACATTTTTCCAAAGAAACTACTGAGAAAGGAGATATCCCACTTTGAGCGATATTTTGAGCGAAAAAATAACGCTCAAAAAATAATCATTATTTTTTATCGATATTTTTTTGCTCACAATAATAATAATTATTCTTTGAGCGATTGAAAAAACTCAACAAATAATTATTAAAATAGAGTAAAATGTATAAAAATCAAGAAGTAAAAGATCATTGCGGATATGGATAGAGCACACAAATAGTAGCCGATTGGTATAATTCGTTTGTTTGTACGGCTTTTCCAAGTGGATGATTTTTTTGCTTGAAAAATACATCGATAATCATTATTTACGGTCCCTGATTTTTACATTTTGTTATTGTTGCTTTGCTTAAGTAAAATAAATACATCTAAAAATTTAAACAGGAAGTAGGTTCAGACAGTGGGTAATTGTGAATAATTATCATATCGTGGCAAGGTCACCATATGGAGCTTAACTCGAAATCACTGGAAAACTGCAACAAGTGCGCTGTTTCCCGATAAGTTGGAGCACACAGCGCTGTGTGCGTATACCAATATACGGTTTAATCCATACTTTATGACGCAAACATTACTGAGCAGTGCGGTTACGGTCTTGGGACCTTCGACTACTACGGTTGCCACCCATTATGCATACCCCCCTCAAAACCCCACCAGCAGGCACGCACCCACCCACACATAGACTAAATAGTTTATGTTGTTTACCATTCAGATGACTGTTGTTGCTGCTTTGGCTGCTGCACTTTGGCATTAAGCGAACATGGAGCACGTCCTGGACACTGAAAGTCATGAGAGGCTGTTGCAAAAGTGGTTTGGTTCTTCGAATCGGGCAGTAACGGGCTTATGGATAAACATATAGGACAACGGCCTACCTATTCATAATTGGAATTTAAAACAAGAGGGAACGTTATAGTCGGGTGCCCCGACTATCAGATACCCGTTACTCAGGTAAAGGGAGTGCGAGGGAGATGGAGATAGAGATAGAAAACGTTGATCACGCATAACTTTTTAACGAATGGTCCGATTTGAAAAATTTCTTCTACATTTCGATAGGTATTGATAAACACAATAAAACTGCATTTTTACTTTTCCAAAATATTAAAATTTTTAAAATCGTATATAAGCGATGGTGGGCGTTAGAGGGGGCGTGGCACCATTTTGAAACAAACTTGCGCTGCGTAGGAATTCCTAGAATCTGCATGCAAAATGCCAATCTTCTAGCTTCTATAGTTTCCGAGATCTCAGCGTTCATACGGACAGACGGACAGACAGACAGACGGACAGACGGACAGACGGACATGGCTAGATCGACTCGGCTAGTGATCCTGATCAAGAATATATATACTTTATGGGGTCGGAAACGCTTCCTTCTACCTGTTACATACTTTTGCACGAATCTAGTATACCCTTTTACTCTACGAGTAACGGGTATAATTAAGCTTTCAGCAATTCCAAATATTTCTTCGGATAAGAGGTATGTCTTTTGTTTTGCCCTTCATCACCAAATCTTAACTGTTTTAAAGATGATTTTGTAATAATGATTTAATAATAAATGTCACACATTTTTGGTATCAGAAGAAAATATAAAAATAACGATAGTGACCAATTTGTCGGCTGCGCGTTAGTAGATCCAACTCTCATAATGCCTTTGGAAAATTTTAAAAGTATCGGAAAATTACAAACAAATATCTTTAAACATATTGAAAACAAGAAAGGAAGCTACCTTCGGCCAGCCGAAGCTTATATACCCTTGTAGATAAAAGAATACTCACTCGGTGCAGTTCCAGGGATTCCAGATTCAGCGTTTCGATTTATTTCAATTTTGTTTTTAAGTAGTCAAGAATCAAAACGCCTACTTCCTACAAAGTTACAATGAATTTTCTTATATTTGTTTGGGAGCCTTAAGATATAGTGGTTCGATCCGGCTCGCTCCGACATATGTACTACCTGCAATAGAAAGAAGACCTTCGGGAAAGTTTCATCGCGATAGCTTTAAAACTGAGAGACTAGTTCGCATAGAAACGGACAGACGGACATGGCTAGATAGACTCGGCTATTGGTGCTGATCAAGAATATATATACTTTATGTGGTCGGAAACGTCTCCTTCACTGCGTTGCAAACATCTGACTGAAATTATAATACCCTCTACAAGGGTATAAAAATAGCAACGCCATATCTTCGCTTCTGTCAAATGGATTTTTTTGAAACTTTTTTAAAAATCCTTTTTAAATGGTGTGATAGTGTCATAAAAAATAGATATCGTTTTGAGACCATGAAGAAAATCTCGATACGTTTCACAAAGAATCACTCATATGTAGGTTCTGGACTGAAAAATAAATCAAGCATATGTATTTATTTTTAGTATAAATATTCCTATTTTCCTTGAATATTCCAACATGTTTCAAAAACAAGAAAGGAAGCTACCTTCGGCCAGCCGAAGCTTATATACCCTTGTAGATAAAGTAATGCTCACTCGGTGCAGTTCCAGGGATTCCAAATTCAGCGTTTCGATTTATTTCAATTTTGTTTTTAAGTAGTCAAGAATCAAAACGCCTACTTCCTACAAAGTTACAATGAATTTTCTTATATTTGTTTGGGAGCCTTAAGATATAGTGGTCCGATCCGGCTCGCTCCGACATATGTACTACCTGCAATAGAAAGAAGACCTTCGGGAAAGTTTCATCGCGATAGCTTTAAAACTGAGAGACTAGTTCGCATAGAAACGGACAGACGGACAGACGGACATGGCTAGATAGACTCGGCTATTGGTGCTGATCAAGAATATATATACTTTATGTGGTCGGAAACGTCTCCTTCACTGCGTTGCAAACATCTGACTGAAATTATAATACCCTCTACAAGGGTATAAAAACGATGCGAATATCAACATAAAACATTTATATATTCAAAATTTAATATGCATAAAAATAAGAAATCGTGTAGATTTTTAATAATCATCATACATTATTAAAAAAATTATTTTAAGTAAGGACCAGTAAATTACGTATTTTATAGTAAAGAACTTACAAAAAAACTTACAAATATCCAGTCGGGTATTTAAATTATAATAAATTTTACTTAGACTAGTATTACTGGGCCATGTGACCCACTGTGCGCTGCCGAGATTCGCAGTTGCCCATTACAACGTCCGCAGAGAGAGAGAACAAGTATTTTCTCTCCGCTGCCAGCACTGACGTTTTCTTTCTGTGTGCGTGTGCGTCCGTTTTTGTCGAATCCGTGTGATGTGCGCGCGGCTGTAAGAGAGCGAAAGAGTAACCGTTAAAATTGCTCTTGCTTGTAACTCTTTCCCCAAAAGTATCTGAGGTGCGCGCGGCTGTAAAGAGAGCCGCGTTACAAGCGCATTTACTATTGCGGCACCGTTCGCACACATACCGCACCATGTGCGACTGTCTCGCTCTTACAGAAGTAAAACAAGAATATAATGCTCTCATTTTCTCATTACGACGTGAAGCAGCGCACAGTGACCAAAATAATCATATTGGTTGTTTGGATCATTTTGGTTTCCAGATGAATATTATTCTTTTCGTATGAAAATATAATACGCTTATTTTCCTTTTTTTAAATTTATTTATAATTGAGACCCTTAATTTTTATAACCTAATACTTAAAAGCTAGTGTTTCATTATTACAAAAATTAATTTCATATAAATTATTTTACTCTTCCAAAAGAACAATTATTTATTTATCAATAACACATTTTTATTAAATAAAAATGTTTTTTCATAATTGTGGATAAAAAATGTTGATTGTACGATAGCTAGCTTCGACCACAGTGCAGTGGCAGCGGCAGCGACGCCTCTCATTGCTCTCATTTTCAGCAAACTGCAGCGGTTAACATAGCACTTACAGCGTGCGTGGAGCGCCCAACAGGGCGATTTGTAGGCGGCTAACATTTTGCGTGGACTGAGAAAAGCGGTTAACAGTGGGTAAGAGAGCGAGAAAATTGCGCTGCCGTCGCCGACGTCGCTGCGGCAGCGGTAAAAAGAGAGAAAAACGTATCTGCGGTTTTGCTTGGCGTTCTGTGGATTGCCAACCTCAAACAATCTTCGAGCTTCGAGCTAAAACTTTGTGCACGGTTGGAAATTGCCAGTAGCGAAAAAATAAAATAACAGAGAAACAGAGGAAGAAGAGAAGTATCTGAAAGAAAAGCGACAACAACAAAGCAACAAAAGCTGATGAATACGTGCGTTCGTGTGGGTGCCGTGCATTCTGCGTACACATATACATATGTGCGCTTAAATTAAATACTTTGGCTTAATTAAATACTTCCGCGGCGTCGTTTATCGTTGTTGTTGTTGATATTTTGCCTCTTCTTCACGCGCTTGTCTACGGTTATCGATTCTCGTCGTCTCGCTCCCCCGCACGCAGCGAGTTGTTGTTTGTTTGTTGTTTGTGTCTGTCACTCTCTCGCCCCGTCTCTCTCACTCTCTCGCCCGCCGTCGCGATTTGTTTGTGTACTGAAAAGAGGCAGCAGCAAAATAAAAGCCAAAAGACTGCGAAAAAGCATAAATAATAAACAACGAGACAAGTGCAAAAAGCGCAGCGAAAAGGCCAGGTAAAAAGAAAAGCTGGCGCTAACGGTGAAAGTGAGCCGTTATGTGAGTGCCTGTGTGCTTGAGTGTGTTAGTGAGGAAAAGCAGTGTATGTGCAAAAGCAGAAACAACATTTGTTGAATAAGAACAACCGGAAGATTTTTCCTTTGCCACCCACGAAAATTCAGCACAAAAGGGCCAGGCAAAAGGTAGTGCTCTCACTCTCGCAGGAGAGAGTGTCGGAGAGAGGGAGCGAAACAGGCGCGTGGCAGTGTAAAGAAATTAGTGTTGCAGTTGCAACGCTCTCTCTCGGCCGCTCTCGCACTTTTTTGGACCACCTTGCAACCCTTAGAGAAATTATTTCTCTCACTCTCTCTCTATAGCCATCTCTTTCTGGCATTGCCCTCTCTTCGCTCACAGGTTTCCACTTCTTGCATTTGACTGACATTCGCCAGCTCGGCGTCGAAGTGGAAAAACTCAGAAAATCCGAGTCGGAAAAGCTCCTTGCGAACGTTAGAAATTTTCACTTTGTCCCATCATCTCGTGTTTCTTCCTTTTGTCCGTGCGTGCGCGTCCGTGTTGCCAAGTTTTTCGGAGTTTTTTCGGGAGTAAGTAAGGTGACAATCAGGCAGCCGATGAACTGTCATCCAGTCTGATTTTTCCTTCTGACAGGTGCACAGTCGCACATTTCCACACTCAGAGTGCAGTTCTTCCACTTAGCGGTCTTTCGCAGCTCGTTCTTTTTAAATTAAACGATGTGATTGCAGGACTAAATTCAGAAGAAAAATCAAACAAAAAAACACAGTGAAACATTAAAGAACAAAAGACAAAATTTCCAATTTGCTAAATTGAAATTTGGCCAGTTTTTACCGTGTGTGTGTGCGCTTAAAATTAATATTATTTTGCATTGTTGTTGTTGCTGCCGCTCTCCACCATTTTGTAAGCGAAAAACGGGCTACGAAAATGAAAACGAACTGGGAAATAACAATTGCCGCCGTTGCGGCATATGAAAACAAAATAGAAAAGCGCACGTCACAAAGTTCAGCGTTCAGTTTTGCCGTCCAGTTTCCATTAATGAAAAATCCACCCCCACAAACAAAACAAAGTCAGCCGTCCGTCCGTGTGTCGCTCTTCTCCATGTGCATGTGTGTGTGCGGGGCATTTTCCGTTTTCCATAAGGGTTGTACTCGAAGCGGGCCGAAAAAGTTTTCAAGTTTACTTTTACGCGATTTTCACAGCACTTCTTTTTCGCTTCTCTGACAGTCCTCCATCTGTCCTCTTTGCGCCCCTTCGTAGTCCTTCTTTCACCGCTTTCTCCTGCTTCTTCCCTTTCTTCATTCTGACATTTCGGCCATATTCATTTTCCTGCTTCCTTTTTCGTTTTGTTATTTGCCGGCGCTTTTCTCCGCTTTTCCATCTGTTTTTGACAACTTTCCGAGGGTTGTTTCAGAATTTTCCTTACCTTTCCTTTGTTTTGTCCTTTGATTAATGCCCTTGGTTTACCTTTCCAATTAGAACGCATTATGGATTGTCATTTATATAGATTTCCCGATGTGTATTTCCACCCAAGTGGTTTGTATTTCCGATAAAAAATAATTGTTCTATTTCGTCATTCTTCCTTTTGGACGCCGTATAATTAACCCAATTAGATTCCGATAAGAAATGGCTCTCTAGTTCTATAAATATGGGTCTAAAAAGGGTCCTTTTCAAGTTGTGTAACGGTCATACTAATAGGTTAGCATGATTAGACATTTCTAGTTGTGTAAAAGGAATACTAATCGATTGTTCCCACCTTTCAATAGGGGGATTCCCTAAACTGTTGAATTGCTGAATTGTTGAATTTTGGTCAGCTGTTAATCAGCTGTTCCATACAAAGTCAACTTTCAGAAATTTCAGCAATTCAACAGCCTCGGGGCTGCTGAAAATTTTGTTGAATTGCTGAAAAGCCAGAGTTGTCACCTTTTTTTAAAAGTCGTGGCAACTCTGTAACATTTTAGTATCACCAGTACGCATTTATTATTTTAAAATCAACTTAGAAAGCATATTTGTGGTTCTTTTTACCTTGGTAACACTTTTAGACAGTTACTAGCAATAATAAATCAAATTTTACATGCTTTAAGTTCCGTGAAACTTTTCAACAAATAACAGCTGTTTGAAAATTCAACAGGAACCATTTTGGGTCGTTCCCTTAATTGCTGAAATTTTTTGATGAATTTTCAACAATTCAGCAATTCAACAGTTTAGGGAATCCCCCTAATTATTTATTAAAAACGATGAGAATTTGTGCACCCCTTTGCTTTGATTATATTGAAATTGTTTAAATGACATTTTAAAAATGACATTTTCTGGATTACATGGTTATCCAATGGTTTCCAATATATGTTAACTTTTAAAAATATATCTACTATATCAAAATCAATTTTAAAAACTTTGGCCTTAGTACATTTTTCAAAAGATTGTGGCCCCATTAAGATAAGGGTTTTATATTCGACCATAAATACTACATATAATTCCCCTTGATTGCCCCAAAACATTTAAATTATTTTTATGACACATTCAAGCTGCGAATCGTGCTTAAGTGGTATCTTGGGAATGGTAGGAAATTGGAAATGCAATTTAATGCCCAAGTTTCTGTTGCAGATTTAATGAGCTACGAAATACTTTTTCCCCATTTCGATTCGTTTTTTTGTATTAATAAAGACCTCACCGTTTGTTCTCTCTCTTTTATTCGTCTTGCAGCTGGTAAATCCAACTCAGAAAAACATTCAGAGGAAACCGGAAAATTTATCACGCAAATCAAAAGTGCAATAAAAAGTTGAAAGTGTTTTACACAGCGCCAAAGAAGGAAGTTGAAGCGAGAATAGTAAATAAATAAGAAGAGCCCACAGCTACACCGTCATATAAACAACAACCCAAACATCCCACATTCAACACCAATTACAAAGTAAACATTTACAGCTCATTTCTCGCAGAAGAGATTCGAGTGTAAGCCACAGAAAGAAAACAAGAAAACCTAAAATCGCGCGCGCGTTTTAAAAGCGTTTTCGCCCCAGATCTCTTACTTCGCGCGGCTTCGTCGCACGTAACTTAAATATATCTTTCGCGCAACCACTGGGCTCAGGCCTCAAAAATCCGCCAAAATTCTACACCAACAAACTTTAATCAGCCCCGAGATTTCGCTCCAGTTCGCAACGGCGACCACAATGCCCTACAACGGCGCTAGTAATGGCAGTGGCGCCAGCGGCGCCGGCGGAGGGGGGGCCACCATAGTGGTCACCGAGGGGCCCCAGAACAAAAAGATCCGCACCGGAGTCCAGCAGCCCGGCGAGAACGATGTGCACATGCATGCTAGGGTGAGTACTATCAGCTATTTTAAATTCTATTCGATAGATATTCTTAATCGATAATAAAATGATTGATGAATAAATGGAAATATTAACTGTTCACACTTTAAAAACCCCTAAAATATTTTTACTTGTTGGAATCAGCCAATGAAAACATTTTCTAATCAATTTTAAAAACCTTGACTTCGTTGTTAATATTTTGTACCAGAGTAGCCATTACTTTTTAAAAAATAAGGAGGCAACTCTGGTTGTTGATTGAGCAATTTAACAAATTAGAGAATAGCCCAAATGTCTTCAGTAGAAAAATTCATATGTGTGGTTGGGACTTTGTTGAGATTAGATATTTTTTAAATTTCTGTTTTTGAACTGAAAACTACAATTATAACTTGTATGTAAAGATCACAGATCTTTACCCATCGACTGAAAGTATTTTTCAGTGCAGATCCCACCTTTCCAACGGCCCACAAAGCTCTTTGGGTGGGTGATCCACTCTAGCCACCCTTATCAGATGCGATTCCTGTATTTATGCGTGTTTTCGGGCATTCGCCCAGCACCCGTTCAATCAGCCCTCACCATCACCATCACCACCTTTTCCCACTTCCTGATCCCTTGTATGTATTTTTTCGATGGGTGGCCATGGGCGTTCGGGGCGGCTGGCCTTGCTGATAAATCCGGGGTGGTGGTGGTGGTAGTTGCTGCGCTGATTCTGATAAAGTTTCCCGAATTGGGGGTTGAAGTGCCCGAATTGCATGGAGCTTATCGGGGAGTCGCGATTGCGAGGCTGTCTACGATATCGTACAGTTTTATCGGGAATAGAGCACAGAGCTAAATTAGTTTTTTACTATTCAATATTGCTGGAAATCGAACACAAAATCAAGGCATAGATACCTTTTTTAATAGACGTCCGAGATTGTTTTATTTCCAAGAACAAAAGGTTTTTGTTTTATTTACTTCCTGGAAAAAAATACCATTCGGATACGGGGAAAATCAAATGTTTATATTCTGCTCACGTTTTCTGTAAAAGTTTTTTTCGCTTTCATTAATGCTTAATAACGAGGAACCTAACTTTTATGATTTAAAATATTTTTTCTACGTACCTACTCAGCAATTTAAATGGGATTTCCCTAAAATGCTATTAAATTTATAAAGTTAAAAGCTAGTGAATTAAATTTAAAAATTTTCTCTTGATCAATTCGTTGGGAAGAAATAATTTAAATTAATACAATAATGAAGTGTAATTTTTGGTGTTTACTACCATGTGGATGTTTGCATTGCAATTAGCTTGCAGCTTTCTCCGGCCGTGGGCAACCATAGTAGTTTTCCACGGCCCGAACTTGTGTTCTCACCCACGCCGCCTGCAGCATCAGCATCAGCAATTGCAACATCAACAGCAGCAACATCAACAGCAGCAGCAACATCAGCAACAGCAACAGCAATTGTTGCTGCTCTTGTTGTGTTTGTTTTTCGGCGAGGGCTGGAAAAATCGATTTCGCCCAGTGGCAGTTGCTGGGAAATTCTCGTTTGTCTGCTGGCGACTTGCCGGCGCTTATCGGCGCTCGTTTCGATAAAAATGTTGGCTCTGGCTCTGGCTCCTCCATGCGAAGGCAGCAGTCAATAAAGGCCGGAGAACATGATAAACAGGCTGTGCTGTGTGTTCGATGGTTTATTGATTCGGCAGGGCGTCCCTAGCAGAGGCACAGGGATATTACTTAATTTCGGCGGGCGTTTTTGCTGGTTGGAAAATTCTTGTTGTATTTTGCCGGCGGATAATGAGAAAATGCCATTGCCTCTCCGGCATGGAGAGCGAAAAGCCATGTGAAAAACGCTCTTCTTGCGGCCGCGCAAAGTATGCAACAATTTTTCTCTTAGCCTGCGCTCAAACAACGCCTAATGGCCTCCTCATCGGGATATATACATATATTAAATATATTTATATAGATATACGTACATCTGTTTGTGGGTGGCCTTTGAGCTGTTGCTTCCGTCGGCTGTTGGTCTGTTGATGTTGCTATTTGCTGTTGCTAGTCCTGATGTTGCTGCTGCCGCTGCTGCTCGTCGCACACACTTGACTTGACAGCGCAATTAGCACATGAAGCAGCATCTTCTCGGCATTTGAAGAGTTGCGCTCGTCGCCTGTCCTTTTCCTTTTCCGTAAAATCCGCCGGACTGGATGGAGTCGTTTGTCGCTTGCCACTTGGCATCGTTTACGGTCTCGCTGGTTACCTGTGGACCCATCCCATACCATCCCATCCCATCTGCGTACGTGCCCAAAAGGCGGAGGAGCAGCAGTTGGTTGCTCTTCCAAGTGATTAAGTGCACTCGTAGGCGGATGCGCTAAATCCCATGAACGAGCCAAAGCCAAAGAACTTTGGCCCACTCGTCGTGTGGCAGGTTAAACGATTTAGTTCTTGCCCTTTTCGCCAAAGCAGGGTGAACTGAACTGTGAGTGGGGGACGACGAGGCAATGTGTCAGCCATCAGGAGGGTGGAGCTCTTTTGACCCACTAATGACGGGGTAAGCCCATAAGCAGCGAAAGGGAAATCTAATACAATGCTAACACAAGTATCTGTAAAGCAATTCAATCCTCAGAGGCAAGGCAAGCTTAAAGATCTCATTAAAATGAATAAATACCCCGAAACTTTAGAAAAATATATAGGAATATTAGATATATGAAAAGTATAATGGAGTAATTAATTATCATATAACATGATTCAATTCTGTTTCAAGCTGTATTTACTTATTTACTTTCCATCGTGTTTTAGCTGTATTTTACATAGTGAAAATGAGCTTTTGTTTATATTGGGCAGAATACTATAAGTCAAATATTATTGCAGCTTGGATATTTTCAAAAATAAAATTGAATTTTACAAAATATTTGGTAATCAAATGGAAAGAAAAAGTATAGTTCAGGAATATTCAATTTTCTGATGGGATGCGCTTTTGGAACTCTGCAAATCAAATATGCAAGCCACCAAATTTCGTCTGACATCTGATAAAATCATCAGCATCAGCATGCTGCACGTCTGTCATTTGCACTTTTCGCCCCAGACGCACGTTTCCCTTTCCTTTTTTTTTGTTGTCAGATCAGAAGGGTCAGCGGGCAATGCGTTTGGCTGCGACATCGTCACCAAAAACGCGACTTTCACAGCCGCCGATGCGTCTGGCTGCGTGACGCATGCTGCAGCAACGAGCATCCACATCCACACGCTCTCCGACATGGTCATGGCAAATAAATTCTGCATCCAGACCCCGCCCAGCCAGACCGGCATCCCATCTACATCCACATCCACGTCCACGTCCATCCCATCCCATCCTCCCAGCCATCCATCTATCCATCCAGACAGTTATAAATAGAGCAGGCAGGCAGACTGCAGTCTGACCAGCGGACGATGCATCCTTGGCAGCCACTCTGCTCAACTCCACTCCACTCCACTCCAGTTGCCAATGATGTATTCAGAAAAAAATGGGAAAAAAAGATTTGAAACCATTTTTGGTGGTGCGTGTCTCGAGGCCAAAAACCCGCATGCAACCCCAAAATGAAAACCCAAACCCCTGGACAAGATTTTTAACCTGCCCAAAAAAAGGGGCAAGTCTAATGGAACGGATGCAACGGTCAAAGTGCATTTCCACATACCCCTTTCCCGGAATCAAGTTCCTAATTAAATGCAATGGAAATTCGGGGTTGCTATTCATCTTCAATTTTGGTTATTCGCTTTTCAGCGAATACTTTTTCGGCGAACATTTTACCTTTTACTGACCAGCTGCTCCCGCCGCCGCTGGTTCGCTGGCCTTTTATTAAAGATAATTGATTTTTATTGTCTTTCACGTTTCAAGTTTTAATTGCAAAAAGTTGCCATCGATGTACCGCAGGGGTGGCGGCATCAAAGGAAAGGGTTGTTTGCCTCCACCGCCTGCTGACTGGGGTGTATTACACCCTCGACTTGGTCTCCTGTTGCAGTTGTGTAATTGAACTAATTGAAATTGCTGTTTGCCAGGGACTTTAAGGTGGAGTACCGAATGTCCTTGGTAAAGGATGCATCGTCTCTTGATCCTTTTACAGGAAAAATGCATAGCTCTGACTAGCTAATTGGCTCACTGACAGAAGAGTAGGGATGCCTAACTAAGCTCTCTTGTCTTAGGCAAAGCTCGGCAGCTTTCGCATTTTCCCTCAAAATCTGTTGGTGAAATCCGTCAAATTCAAGCAATTTATCTTTTGATGGACATAAGAACGGAGCTTCAGAGACCATCATCATCATTGTGCAGCGTGGCCAAAACTCGAAGCTACTATTAGCAATGGCCAACTGCTGCAATCAATTGTTCTTGCGTATCGATGGTCATTTGATTTTCTCCGCTACCCAATTTTTGGTCGTAGGAAATGAAATTCCTTCTCTGATTCGAATACTAAATTAGACGCACAGTTGTGTGTACATCGTGAATAATAATTTTCGATGTTCATATTTCGGTCAAAGCTATCATAAATTCAAATTCGAATGGAAAGTCTTGTCTAGAACTAGAAAACAACTCGATAAGAGTTTATGAATTCTAAAGAGATAACAAATATGTAGAAATTTTTCGGGGTTGTGTTTTTTTTTTAATTTAAATTTTTTTTTAGGTTTTTAGACTTAAATAAGAAAAGTTAAAAAAATTAGATATTAAAAAAAATATAAGTAAATAAACCTTACAATACATTTTAAACAACTAAAATAATTTCATTTTGTATAATTTTTTTGGTTTCAAAATATTTATTCTTACTAATTCCCAATTTCCATATTTATAGAAAAGGAATTTCCTATGAATATTAATTGGCCTATATATTCACAGTCTTAAGCTTCATTTTTGACATTTCCCACAACCATTCGATGAATTGAGCCATCAACAATCGCCCCCAAAAACAAGACATCAACCATGATGACATGATGACGATGCGGGCGATGGTAATAATGGCCTGTTAGTAGCGTTTCAAATTAACACCTTGTCATTATATTTCTTGGATTTCCTTTCGAGCGTAA